AAGTCCACATTTTCACTTTATAATTTATTGATTTTTAATTGTCGACTACATCCTTTGGCTGTCTCTTCAAACTTTCTTACGTATTTTACGTCAGAATATTAAACTTTATGCTTACATATTTTTTTTTATCATATATTCTATCCCTGAAATGAGTCAATTTTCAAACTATATTTGCCTGTTTGAATTTTTAATTTTTTAGTTTGAACTATTTTAATCAAATTTAAGTACTCAATTTATTTGATACCATTCAGCTTTCCGATTGGTTACGAAATATCTCTCCTTTGGAGGTGATTTTAACCACTTTATACGGACCTCGACTGATATAGTATAATTTGATACGTGTCAACACACCGATTTTTCTTTATTCTTAACTGCTGATAGCTTGAAATTAGCCGAAACGTAAGAAATATACGTTGTAATATTAAATACTTTTATAAGAATTACAACGCACTGTTGACAGCCTGACTCGCATAATTTTTTCCTCTATTATTAGTTATTAAAATTATTTTCGTATCTGTGTGTCTAGCTGAATCCTTAAATACTTGAACCGTTCTTTCCGTGTGAACCTGGTAATATGCGATTTGGAGCGAACGCGCTATCTCGGCAGGCAATATCTCATTGAGCAAGGGAGGAGGTGACTTTAACGTTGGCTCTCTCTCCCATCTTGCACCCCTTCCGCAAGCAATCGCGGCTTGAGACGGGGCCGACGTGCCCGCCGAGAGAGTAAGATCGTTAATCTTGCCGCGCGCCGATCGAGCGCAGATAGTAATTGTTACGTTCTGCTTTCCTGTGGCCAACCGTTCGACCGTGTCCGACGAGCCTCCTCTCTCTCTCTCTCTCTCTCTCTCGCATGTCTCTCTTCGCGTTCTATTTCCCATCTTTCTTATTCCACGTGCGTACACGCGCTCGCTTGCAAGTCTCTTTTCTTCGCGTCGGGAGTCGCCGACCGATTCTCACCCACCGGCGGCATTAACGCCTTCGGCGAGTCTGTTGGCACTACAATGCCGATATCCGTTCACCACTCTTCTGCCGGCTGTGTTTGCGTTGAATCTCTTTAGTTTGTATACCGTATAACGACGGCAGGTGAATGGAATCGCGCGTGCGGAAGTTGAATAGGTTGAAGCTCCACGGAAAGAACAGTTACGGTGCTAAAGTATGTATTTCAAAATTTTTAACTAGACACGGATCTGAAACAAATTTCGTTAGACCATCAAAAAATAATCGTGCAAGACGCTCAAGCTGCTTCCCGGAATGTCAAAAGTCTTTTAGCAACACTGCTAATTACGCTTGAACATCTCTTATACTTAATTATTTAATTATTGTTTTATTTTAATAGTCCAAGAAAATTATCTTTTTTCAGATCTATATGTAATTAAATTTTTAGACGCCTCAGCAAAATTGTTCTTTTCGTGTAAAACCGCACGTTTTTTTTAAGTTACGACGTAATTCGTAAAAGAAAAAGTAATCAGTTGCAAATTTAAAGAACAGAATTAATTGAAAAAAAAATTGACCAGCAAACTTTCTTTACATTCTGATCGTTCGCTGTCGCTTAAAATCGGCCCTTCAGGAAACGGTGGGCCTTTTCTCTCGATAAAGATACCAGCATCCTAGATCGCTATCCTTTATTCAGGCTCTGATTTCGTTCAGATGGCTAGAATTACTTGAACGCGTACGATGGTCGCTCCCGCAAGCCTCGTATACCATTTGCAAGCCTGACTGCGCGACTTGTCGGGGAGCCCGTTTTTTATATTATCCCGATATCCATACTGCCGACCAGGCTGTCGAAAACGGTTCATTCACGCGCTAGTAGAATTCTCGAGTCATTCTAGAGCCCGGCTACCAAAAAGGAGATATGCGCGTGAAAAGCTACGTCGATTGGTCGTGTTAACGCCATTATCGAGTTCGCTCGTGTTACATGCTCGGCGACGTCTCTCGTTTCTCGTCTCGCCTCTCTTCGGTCTCTTCCTGCGATCTCCCAAGTCCGTTGGCTTCACGTTTCCTCGTCCTGCCGTGCGCATATCCTCGGCTCGTGAAGCGTGTCCATAAATTCGCTTCTCGCGTTGACCATTGACGTGGGCCACGATATCCGAAATGTCGCGAGGATCCAATGTTTTCGTGCTCTCAACGGCAACAAGCGAATCTGCTCGTGGAAGAGTGTCGCCCGGAGAAAACCAGTTTCACGCGCAGATTCCTTATTTGCGAGCCCGACGAAACTGTAGATTCGAGTTAATCGTCGATGAGCCTTCCCTCGTTTGCGAGATTTTTTTCTCCCCCTTTCCTTGCACCTATCCTCGCCTCTATCTTCGCCTCCAAGCATCCTTTGGGCTCGACACTACACTACTCGCGTCTTCCGACTAGTCTCAGGATGATCTCTGTTCGTTGAGGGAATGGATTTGTCCTGGCAGTGATTGTGCCATCAGGCACATTCAAACAAAATAACATAGTTGCTGATAATTAATATAAATGACAAGTTTTAAATGTTTCGAATTAATGTACATTTTGCAAGAAATATTTTGCTGAAATATCTATAAATTTTTTGCTAAATATAGATCTGAAATTAACTTTGTTGGATCATCAAAATAATTATGCAAATTATTTAAACATTAGCTGCGTTCAACAAAAAAAATAGCTTTGCATCTATTGCAAGATTCTTTAATATGATTGCTTTCGTCTTTAGTTCCTCCTGAGGTTAGCTTCTTACTGAATCTAAATGTATAAACTAATTATATTTAAAATCTTATAACAGTCGCGCAAAATTATTTTTTCTGCTGGATGTAACCACTAATGACAATGCCGTAAAAAGTTTTAACATTCTGGCAACCAATTTAAGTGTCCTGCATAATTATTTCGATGGTCCAAACGAAATTATTTTTTTAGACTTATACTATATCTATCTAAAATTTCGATACTTAAATCATTTTTTTTACATAATTGAATAAATTATTTTATAGTTATTGTTACAATTATAAAAAATAGTTTTTCAGCTGTACACATTAATTTTACGTAATATAAATTTGTATTGTTTTTCTCTGATTGTAAAATTGACGTTTATATATCCGCCGCGAATTTCAGTTCTATCGCATTTAAGTATAGGTATTTAATGAAAATCTTGAAGCGCGAGGGAAAACACGCGATGTAGGAATACTTTCGCTTCAGATAACGCGCGTGTGCATTCGCGAAGAGCAAAAGAAGGGACTATATCTAGGATTATTTTCTCAATTTTTTCCACGGTAAATCGAACGTTATCCGACAAATTTGTGCTATGTTCTATGGAACATTAAGCAGGCTAGATAATTTTACCTTTCTTGTACCGTGCTCGTTCCTTTTCTTCTGGCTATTGACAAAACGGCAATTTAAGTAGATATGTACACGGCTGAACGGACGCGAAGTCGATATTCGCGAGTGGTTTAATAAGAGATAAGCACGGGAAGAGTATTAGACTTCAGGTGCGCGATCCGTAGCGGAATATCTTCCACCGCGTTAGAAGAAGATATGCGGAAATATATTCCACCGAAGATAATTGCCGTAAAGGTATAAATCAGAAGGCACCTGGAGCAACTTGTGATATCGATCGCTTTACGTATTTATTGTATAGATATGTACAGTTCATAGAACAAACAATTGTTAAATTTATATTACTGACTTAAATGTCTTGCATTTTGATGTTGTTCATACTATACTGTTTTTAATATTTGAGTTTGGGTAAATTTAAAGTAATTTGTGCGGTAATTTGTGCGTTTAAGTTTAAAGTAATTTTTAAAAATTACTATTCAACAAGAGGAGGAGGAAACAAGAGGTTTGTTCATGCCGCGTGCTTCTGCTCTAACATACTGCTATCAAACACGTGAATAAGAGCTATGGTAGAAGTGTATTGGAGCATGTTAGAGCATGCGACACCAACAAATCTTTAACGGGAAATTTTGACGGCAAAACGATGTCACTTTGTTTCTTGAGTAATAAACAGTTAAGTTATTTAGGATTGGAAGGAAATTGATTCGTTAAATAAATGAGAGTGTAAGATATTTATGTAAATTTATTCAATATAACATATTATATTGTGCGGATATTCGATGGCTCGCCAAAAACAGTTTTGTCTGACGGAGGATAGTTAGAAGAAGAATTTGGAAGAGTTTGCAAGAGAGAATGGGTTGTGATGCCGTGTGTAGATATTTACAAACGGTCTCATTTAAATCAACATTATTTCGATACAGTCCGTATAGAATGATCTGTGTCTCCGATTACGTCTATTTCAAATATCTAGTTAACGCATATCCCTAATTTATAAAGATTCGCTAGGACTAGTTCCGAATGAGCTCGAACAATCTCATTCTTTCTTCACGGTATATGTTTTGACTCTACTCTCACGAATGGCTCCCCAGGTAGACTTGAGCGATCTAACAGCGTTTACTTTTACCACGCGATATGCATCGATCACTTATCTAATCAACAATAATAATTACAGTGACATTGATGACGTTGCGTTTATAATATTATACAGCTCGCAACACTTATTCGCATCCGCGATCTTAAGAAATCGTTCACGTTCGTGTAATAAGCAGTTCCGCAGATATTAGAAACTTCAACCAATAGAGAGATGAGCCGAGCCCGACAATAATGAGAGAAGAGAAGGAATATTAGATAAACACGTACACGGTGCCGCATCTGATCGGCTACACGCCGATAATTATCGATTCGAGCCTGCTGAAGATGCAGCACGTTATCAGTTTATCACTTGATCACTCGCGTGCTAGTAACGTCAATTCCGGATCGATGTTTTGCGATGTTTATTAATATATCGTGATTTTCTGTACTTTGCGCACCGTAAAAAAAAACAAAACAAAGAAAACATTTTCATCACGTCTGCACTCTTA